TATGTTTTTCCATATGGATTTAATCTCCAGCGATTCAAATCCAATGTGAACCGCTACTTTCGCACAGCAACCGCTCTGAGATCGCCTTAAGGATTTTCCTGTAGTGCTGGTGTTTTTTCCTAAAAAACAAAACTTTCAAACCATATTCAATTTATGAGAAGAGATCGTGAATTCATCACGTCTATGATATTTCATGCGAAAGTGAAGATTCAGTTTTACGGGATAAAGATTTCGAAATCTCAGATTTTCAACATTTGAATGAAAATGTGCCTATTTGAGAAGATTTCGACTTTGAGGATGACCACCGAATCAGTTTGTACATGCTGTTCAGAATATCATAACTTTTTATATTTTGTGTAGACGTTCAAGATCTGGCAACATTAACTGTCTTGTATTTGTAGGCGAATGTTTTCTCGTTATCGAACAACTGCATCACCCTTAGGTAGCTAGATTTCTGACGCTTGACGGGTTTTAGATATTTGAAGTGGTGTTAATAATAACATTTTGTGTGATTCAAACAGAGTAAAATAACCTACAGTCCACGAAGGTTGTGTTGTAATCATCTAAGAAAGTGAACAATAAATACGGACAGCAAACACTGGAGTTTTTCTTGATTAGAATAATTGGAGTTCGAATTCAAGGGGATAAACCCCAACACATGCTGTACCCTACAAAAATCCTAAGGCGGGAGTTACTGAATTAGAATGGAATGAACAGCAGACTTCCATTGAATGATCTTCAAACTATTTTTTACCGATAAATTTTTGAAGATCAAAGCCGATATGTCCATGTAGTGTTATATTGGAATAAATTCAAAAAGTACGTTTGTTACTACACCTGATGAAATACTGATATTTGTTGGAATGTTGCTGTGGATATCAGAATTGCTCAGTAAAACAACGTATCAGTCTGCAGCAACCAGAGTTTTCATAGTTGTTGAGGTGACATCAATGAACCATTTTCAAACAATGATAATAAATCTGCACTTCAATAACAACCAGCAGTTGCAGAACAGAGCTGGGAAAATTCAACACGTTAATGATCACATGTGCAGTAAAATGACGATGAAACAAAAGTTTTTCTATGGCAAGTAGATAGTCCCTTTCGCAGGTATAATTTCCTTGAAAACATATACTCCCCATACTCCCCAAAGAAATCCAGTGAGGTAACAAAATATAAATCCTTTCAGGTGATAATGATCAAAACAAACAAGTGATGAAGGCTGTACAGTGGTATGATAAAAAATATGTGTCACTATTATACACTATTGTTGGTTACCAATCATTCCATAAGGTCCAATGGTTTTTCAAAACAAGTAAGACCTCATTCACTGTTACGATCTTCGTTCGGGTTTGAAGGCCGTCGTGGTTTGGAACTGTATCCTAACGTTTTGCCAGCAAGAGTGGCAGGCTTCTTCAGAGGTCTATTCATCCTGATGATACAGTTCCAAACCACGACGCCCTTCAAACCTGAACGAAGATTGTAACACTGAAAATCTTGGTCACGAAAGCCTCAACCAATTTATAAGACCTCATTCGCCTAGATTTTGTGGAGATATAACATAAACACATGAGGGGTGTTGATTTCCTTGATTCATTGCTCGGTCTATACATGATTCGTACCAAAATGGTGTCACAGATTATTTTTCCATACGGTAGATGTGTGTAATTCTTGCTTGCTATATAGAAGAATATTGGAACACCACTATCAAAATCAACCTCAAAGTTTCAAAAAATTCAGGACTGAATCAGCTCTAGTACTAATCGAGATGGAAACATGGAAAACTAATGTATAAACAAGAATAAGAGAAAGGTCAAGCATGTGAAGAATAGATGTGGAGAAGTTTTACCTGCATTTGAAACGGAAAAAGATGAAACTGGCCACTGGCCACAGTATTCTGAACGGCACAATCGTTGCAGATTGGAGAGTGGTAATAGGAAAAGTCGAAGATTTTGTGATGAATACACGGTTTTTTTATGCGTCTGATTGTCATCCATAATCTGAACGAAACGATATTCAGTGTGTTTCAAATTTTTTGTGTGATGCGCACAATGATTCCAAAGGGTTCTATTATGAAATATGTAAGAAAAAAATTGATTTGCTTCTTAGGTATTTTCCATGTATCATTTGAGTCAAAATAGGTGACATGACATAATAAAATTATGTGCAATTCGAACAACATTTTGGATATGCATATTATTTTGAAGAGATATACTATCGTTTTGCTGCATGTAATACTTATCAAACTGCATTATCTGACAGTAGTCTCTGATGCATTGAGATGAAACCTTCGTTCTCGAAGAGAACGTATATGCCACTAATTATGTTTGTCGCATTAGCAGACGAAACGTTCAGTTCAAGTTCCATTGGACCACGGCCTACCAGCCCTGATTTTGTTTTCACCTCCTCCGGCAGTGAAAGCCCATGTTCTTATATAGTGAGTGCAGCTGAACATAATTGGTATGTTAAAATTTTATCACTCATAACATTCCCAGCATAGTTTGGAAATTCGATGACTATTGTAGAGCAATTTGAGGGTGTGAATACGATATTATGATGTCTTTGAAATATTTTTGGATGATTCTTACCCTTGTGTAATTGCCCCCTTCATGTTGGCCCCGCTTTACGTCATTCCCATCAAACTACTCTGTATGTATGTCTCTTTCATGAGACACGTTTCAGATCAACACTAATGAATGAAAAAAATTCAGGTTTTCATCTGTCATAAATAATTCAGTTGTCTTTAGCAACGCTCCATTTATACGGTTTCCACAATCCACACACCATTCCATTCATTAGTTTCATTCGCACCATTTGCAAAGCTTAATGTTCCGAATGGAATAATATTTACTGAACCATATGTTTTTTACTGTAATAAATGAATTTTTGTGACTCGGTGCAAATTCATCTCATGCTTTAGCAAAAAATAAATGATAATAGCTGCAGCACACAGCTCATGAAATGTACGAGGTATATTTCACTGGGCCGGTCATATCAGTTGAAAAGATATTTTTTCTCTTTGATATACCCCTCTACACCACTATTTGGAAGTGGGGAAAATTCAGTTGGAAAATGGTAACAAAAATTCAAGGACCAGGGAAACTATAAGAATCACAGATTTCTGCTGAACCGAGAGATAGTTGAAACAGTAGCTGAAATGAAGCACATTTGTAAAAATCGAAATTATCATCGAGTAATATTCATTTAGAAAATTTTTACACTTACGGCTTCTGATAGGTGTAAAATCATTTCAATTGAATGGTCAGGGTGAAAATATTACTACACAATCCACACAACACTAACATTCAATGCTACCAGCTGTTTCGACACAGTGTGTCAACCTCTGAGCGAAACTGCTACCGCAGTTGTCGGTTGATTGGTTAGTCACATTTTGTCTTCAGACGAAGACCACCAGCCCGGTATTGACGATGCAGATGAACCTATATAGGTTTGAAACATGTACTGATTGATGGTTTTACCTTTCTAACATCTGAGGGTGGTAATAAATTGTGGAGACGATTTTGAGATTTTATTCTCATCAATGGTTTTCTTTCAATACTTTCAATGTATGTGATATTATTCCATATCTCAATCCCTAGAAGTTTGGAATAAATACCATGAATATTTCGAAAATGATTGATTTAGATTTATAGACTGTTGACTGAATTGTTAATTGGCGTTTTTATACTTTCAAATTTGACACCTATAGTTCAATTCTTCAATATTGATTCTTCAATATTATTCTCTTTCTTTTGACTCATTCATTCGAATATTTTGGTCGCAGTATTTGGAAGTCAAACTTTCAATATCCCATTAAAACTTGCGACTGTTCGGTACTACATCCCAAAATCGTTGCAACGTGATCTATTACTATGTACTTCTTCATCAGATCTGATCGGTAGTTCTCCTTTGTGAAAATTAAACATATTTCGTCATCAAAAGATAACTATTTGTTTTCTTCGACATTTTACAGCACTTCTCTGTGGTAGCTCTCCATGTGATTATTCCAATCTTCACAAAATCACATCCATCAATCATATTCACTGATTCAATATCCACATATGTGTCACACCATTTTATAACTTGTACATAATGCTCAATGCTAGCACACAACCTGATGCTAACCAAATTATCATGAATTTTATTGTTAAAGGTACCTACGTTGTTTCAACTGTGACCACTGCACAAATTGGTTAATTTAGTAATTGATTGAATCCAGTGTATATGACAAATAACCGTTAACTTGTCGATTTGTAATGTAGACAGGCGGTCTTTGTATTATTCTGGGAATAGGCTGTTGCTCTGTTTCCTCCTGTGATGATGATGATGCAGTAATTAGAATTGACTGCACGATCGCAGCGGGGTTTCAGGGAGATTCAGCATGAAGGGATGCCGTTCTTTAAAAAGAATTCTCAGTATTTTGAGGTGTATTGAGTTGATCTGTCTGCCGCGTACTTCGGACAAGTCTCATACTTTTCTTTGATATATCACATTATTAGTTAGGGCGGAATTTTTCATATATTAGATGTTTTACTTATTTATTTATTGCTGTATATGTTAATGTTTGACTTTTCAAAACACCACAGTAAAAGAAAATTAATTGTGCAGCCTGTCACTGATGAGATGTTTTTCCAAAGAAAAATAATGAAAAATATATGTGTTGTGATACATGGCTTGTTTTGTTACGACAGTGGCTACTAAAGTTGATGAAAGAAGTAGAAACTTAAAATAAGTTTGGTCAGTTCTTTTGAAACCCACAAGGGTTCAAACTGTACCAAAAAGATATGGGTAAAATGATCTTAGAAAAAGAACATGTTTTACCTTTTATCCTCTACTTTCCATGGATCAGGTAAAGAAGGAAAATATATATTGCCCCGAGTCTAGGCACTGACATTTTATGACGTAGAGATGGATCTAGGATGAATATACTATATTAGTATCGCTCATCATAAATTTACAGAATTATTGAAAACTAATGTCTTATTTATAATTTACTTTTCATGTGGTTGTTTTTCAGTGCAATCAGAAAGGATGTGATGCAATAGAATTTGATGTATGTTTAACCAAAGATGGGGTACCCATTGTATTTCATGACAACACTTTGGAAAGAATGGCCAATTCTAATTTAATTGTTGGTGACACAACATGGGAAGACCTTGCTAACATTGATATTTCAGTGAATCATTCTCAAAAGTAAGTGTTAGATTTTTTGGAGCACATACTTAGTTTTCATAATCATTTCTTAATATAATCATTCACACTGTCAATAACTACACAGGTATTGAAATTCTTTTGGGATGTTCATCATCATCCTGATGTAATATCTATCAGAAATATTACAATAAATCAAATGATAAAACAAAGACAGCCCTGTCTGCCGTCTTTTAGAAATCTTTCTGGCTTTTTGTGTCTTATTTTTATTTTACCTATTCATAAGTTCTCATGTCTATAGAAATGGCACCAAATACACAAATTCACAGTTCAACATCTCAATACATAGCAAACACTGAAACAAAAAAGCACAAATGCAGTTTGGACAACATAAGAATACACATATGTTGTCGATAAAATAGGCAATATAACACATAATTTTTTATATGGCATATTTTTCTACAAGAGAAAAAGGTAGACAAAAAGGTTAATGTTTGTGTGTAATCAACAAGAGCTCTTGTTTGGATCATAGCTTGTACTGACTACATTGAAGATGAGATAGTTATTCAAACGTGAGTCTACAGGTTATATATCGATAGTATATTACTAGTATTTGACTGTTTCCATGTAGTTTATGAAAAAGTTTTGAAGTTTCTTTTTTTATATTTCACAAATAGTTATTTTCACAACCAAAAATACTGTTGACATTTCATGGTAATTAAATTTTATATCCTGAAATTGACTGTAACCACATTGGGTTTGAGAATGGCTATGGCCTTGAAACTTAATAAGGACGTTTAGAGAATTTCAAAAATAAAAGCAAATCTTCATTGAGAGATTGGGCTGTTCGTAACAGTAGCCACATCTTCCAGTTTTGATTTTTTTGTCAGCACAAATTGTTCAAACAAATGTATTCTTTTGTTACCCCAACTGTATGTATCACTTTCAGATGTACAAATAAAATATTTATCATTTGATGTTACTGCATGTTGAACACATTAGCGTCCTGATTGGTAGAAATGTTTATCTATTGATAATTGGGAAGTTCACTTCCTAGGTTTCACTAACGCATCAAAATTTTTGACGAGGAAAGTAATTATATTTGTTAGTAGTTATCAACTCATTTAATGCTTTTACTAACATTGCACCCTTTTTGGCAGGGAGAGGTTTGTAAATACTAAAATCCCAACACTAGAGCAGACTGTTCAACAATTACTCACTGATGGCCAAAGAATGTTCATCGATATTAAAGATAACAATTATAAGGTAAAGGTTCCCATAAATTGAATTCCAACTGAATGAACTCATTTGATATAATCCTATTCATTTGCAGTTTGTCTAGGTTGAATACTACCAGTATGGTAATTCATTATTGCAATTTTTTACTCATATTTCAAAATAAGTGATTTTTGTATCGAGGAGATATACGTACAAATTAAGTAGATTGATATTTCGAAACATTCACCTCTCCCTACGTTCCTACATAGTAGATTCTAGAAAATGCATCTTAGAAAATAGCTGTATTCTCGAGTAATCACGATAGATATCGAATTACGTCCGAAAGACATTTATGCAAGTTGCCTCAAAATAGTCTTGCAGATGCATCACATCTATCCAGTAGTAGGACTATTCTGAAATCAACCTGGTTTTGGAGTATTATCCCTTATCAGTGCATGACTCAAACAGCATTGTGCCTGGAACATGATTGACTTCAAATGTGGCTCAGCAGCATATATGAAACCTTCGTCTCAGTGAAAGATTTGTCAACTAGTAACAGCTTAATTTCTTGAACAAAACTTCGAAAGCGCTGAAGTAATATTCCATGTACCAACACTCCAACAGAAAACAAAATAAGTCAAATGACTTGTATTGAGGAGAGATGAAAATGTATCGAGAAAATCATTAAAAAAGTCCATTCTTCCAGTGTTCCTACACAGTTTGGTAAAAAAGGTAAATCCCTGCCAGAAACAACCATTTTCCCTGCTAAACCTCGATGGACATTGAATTATTTCCAACATTTATTTAAACCAGTTACCTTACAGAGGATAGTCTGTGAAGTAGGGAGAAATAGTTGTTTTCCAGCAGGCATTTACCAGATCGTAATGTGTAGGAACACTGAGAAAGGTGACTGTTTCTTAATTTTGTATGTTCACGAAAGGAAGCTGTTACTAGTTAACAAATCATTTTCTCGGATGCAGGTTTCTAACATACAGTATAGCCACATTTGAATTCAACTGTGTCCCAGGTACATTGCTGTTTGGGCTGTCTGTCGGTTATAATTCAATGTTCTTCATTGTATTACCCGAGGAAGTAGTTATTTTCCGGCAGCCGTTTACCAGATCCTACTGCGTAGAAATATTAATTTTTTTCGAGATATTAGGAAAATATTGCAGAAATCATATATTGATTAATTTCATGAAAATACAACAAAATTGAAATGCTTTATTATGATTATATCAAATAAGTTTGTTGAACACTGAATGTTGAATTTTTATACTGAGTCACTTATATTCTTCATTTTAGATGGTTGGAGTTATTCAAGAACTTTTTAAAAAGTACCCCGAATTGGTTTCAAGGGCTGTAGTCACTTCCTTTTTTCCGAATATCATATATTGGGTAAGTTGAATCCTGACGTGTTGCTTCGACGAAAAAGTATACATGTTTCATGAATTCATGCATCCGATCTGAGTCGAATAATGATCTGGCCCTTGCTCCTTACATAAAGTAACCATACGTCCCGCTTTGGGCGGGACGGTCCCGTTTTCAGGCAGTCCGCTCGGAGTCCCCAGCGAAGCCACCATAGCTCCACTTTTGCAAACTGAAAATTGTACTAAGATCGTGTAACGCAACGCAGTGACTTATAACACTTGCCTAAAGGCAAGTGTTCCTTCAATATTAGTTTGCAATGAAAGTATCTGTTTATAAAACGAAGAAAAGATGCTACCGCAGACGTTACGTGTGAAAAGTGTTGTACTGATTTTAGTGTTGGACATGGTGGTGGTGCTAGTGATGTAGAAAAACATTTAAAAACGTAAAAACACAGGCTTGCTGATCAACCTGCAGCTGAGGGTACATGGGCTCAAATGACTTCTTCCCCTTCAATTCAAGCATGTTTTGAGCAAGAATTCAGATGTGCATGTACAAAGTCTCAAGCTATTGTTGTAAATATGCTGTCATCTTTAGCAACCGAAGATTTAAAAGAGCATTTACGGAAAGCCCACTGCATAACTTTATTAACGGATGCTTCAAACCATGGCTCAAACAAATGATTTCCAATTTTGATTCGCTATTTTTTACCATACGAAAGTCAAGGTTTTAGAGTTTTGGGAGAAGCCAGGCAAAACATTGGATATTATTGTCGATTATTCGAAGGAAGCATTGTCTCTCAATGACTTGAATAAAAAATTGTGGGGTTAAGTTGAGACACCAAGAACTGCATCTTCGAAGGAAAGAGTAGGAAAGGAAGTGATAAATTTCCCTGAAAATTTAACAAATCACTCGACAGACAGCTTATTGGAATTGGATGTAGAGCACACAACATCCACAGCGCAATCAAAATTGCCTCTGATTGTCTTCTAGTTGATTTCGATTGCATCATAGTAAAAATTCACACAATTTTTACATCTATAGCGTCTGATTAGAAGCTTTGAAAGAGTTTTGTGATTCTACCGAGACACAGTATTACAAACTGCTGGGCTACAGTAAGCCAAGGTAGCTTGTGATAATGCCCCAGAGAGTTATAAAAAAGTTTCAGCCTTTGAAAAACTATTTTCAGAGTTTCAAAAAATGCCCCGATGTTTTAAAGACGTTTATCGAAAATCCCAGCTCAGAATTGTGGTTATATTTTTGCACGCACAAGCCGCGACCTTTCATGCAGCTGAGTTGAAAATTGAAGGGCAAAATGTATGGGCCGTGGAGTCTGCTCAGGAAATTAATCGTCTCCGAGATAACCCGGCACTTGAAGAAAATACAATTTTCGCTCCTCACATCATATGTAACTTGCTTGTAGAATTACAAGGATGAGAAGCTGCTGTTGACCAGCAGAATGTAAAAACTGCGACGGCTGGTGTCAATTCAATAAAGAACTAGAAATGTTTGAATGAGCAAATGAAACAAAAGTGTCTGTGTAGGTATAGAACGTCATGGATTTACTGATCACGCAGGGTTTATTAGCAGCAGCCAAGATACGAAAGTCTGACGAGTTTTCACTTATTTCCAACTTTGCGACATTTGAAAAAATCTCTGGCTGAACAAAATATGGACAAATATGAAATACAGTTAAGTGTCACAGTAATGAAAGCTATTTTGATTAGAAAGATATTTTGAAAAAAATTTGTTCAGCTGACAAATACAAAAATACAACTTAGAAGTCACGCCACTACTGGGGCTTAGTAAGTCGTGCCTATTTAACTTTATTGTGTTTAGTGCTTTGGATATTTTGTGTTATTCTATCTTCTTCAATAAAAAAACACAGAAAAACAATTTTTTATTATGCAATTCCGCTAATCCCCAGTTTAGATTGAAATTTATGATCACAATATAAAATTTACATAGTATTAGTTCATAGTTCATTGGTTAATAAAACAACTATTCATGCAGCATAGCGAATTGAGACTCTAGAATACATACTATATAAAAATAAGAGTTCTATCACTTATTTCATTGATCACGCATCACATATTATATCAGCTTAAATTATCAAAACAAGCAGTATATATTTTGTGAAAAAAGAACTTCAGCTTTCTACTTCTCCAGCATTTCATTTGAAAAAATGTGAAACATTTCAAGAACTACTTTGATCGTTTACCGAAGTTTGTATGTTAATACTTTTCATATATTACGCTGTGTAGCGTTCCTGTGGATATTTTTACGAATGTTTGGAGTACTAACTGAACAGGATAAAGTTATTTTCTTGTATTTCACCGTTAAAATCTTTGAGTATTTGTTTTGGTTGGACATTTCTTCTAGTTTGTATCCGGAGAAAATTTTGTACATGATCTACACATCTTTTCGAATAGTTTTTATTGAATTCAATTAATGTTGTATAACGATGGAAAAGCAGAAAGCCAAAAAGCTTTTTTCACAGACTCTTGGAAAATATTTCCTTCTCAATATAAAGTGATAAGTCAGTGTTGAGAATTCAAACATATTGAATAATATTTACAATTTCCATATAGATTCGACGAGGCAATCCAGAAATTGTTGGTTCACTCTCATATAGACCATATGCATTTTCGCGTGATTCTTTCAAATATCCAGAAGGAAAGGGGAATAAGAGGACTGAAGCCGTGTTCAAATATTATTTGTTGTGTTCGCTAGATGCTTTACTAGCATGGGCAGTACCCAGGATTATATATTACATATTGGGATTATCAACAATTTTGTTGCACAAGGATGCTATAAGTGGGTAAGAAAAATAATGTTTTAAACTTCATTCAAATTCACAAATTTTTGAAAAAGTTTTGTTTGTTCTCAATATTTTAGGCATAACTCAGTAGCTTTTTCTTCAGTTTGCAGAAACTTAACTACTTAATTGCATGCTAGTAGTTGTCGAAGTAAATACCTCAATTTAAAAAAAAAATAGTTTTGTCATTTTCATTATTCATTGGGAATGATTCAATAAACACAATTTTTCCACACACAAGAATTGTATTGTTCTTTTTGATACCCTTTCACTCATCAAGTTGGCATCATCAGAAATTAATCCAAAATTCATAATCAATGCTAAAGCAGCCTATTTATAAAGTGAAACCCTACTTTTAATTCCAGAAATACTTTATTGGATTTCTTATCAGAAAATTTCCCGCCAATCTGAAGATATAAAAGAGTAATCAAAGAGATGTTACATTGGAATATTCGGCACTGCTAATAGTTTCTATTTAACACTTTACAATTGAATTTTCAAAGGCATTCACAATGCTATATGTACCTGTTCTACGAATTTCAATTATTGATCAATTATTGTATAGCCGTTTTTAAGGTGTGTTGAGCAACTATAGATTTCTCTGGCCTGCAAAATCTTATCTATTAGGATGTTTCAAAAGTTTTGTCCGTTTCAATGTCATGTGTTTTTGTAGCTCCATATCTCAATAAATATATATTAATTTTACTGTGTCATGATATACAGTGTGTCCAAGATAAGGATCCTAAGCATGGGAATCTCAGTACCTGTTGGAGATACAGCTTAGGTTAAATTAGGAAAAAGTTGTGTTCTTTTAAAGCTTATTTACATGCCGTTTAGAAACTTGAAGAACTTTCATGGCCTGCTGAGATATTTGGGAAAAACGAGAATTTGACAATATCAATTTTATTTTTTTCTGACTTTATTTGAAAAGATATCAAAAAACGAATAACACTTTTTCATTGGCACTTTCA